AGTGCAGTACAGTACAACTAGGGTGGGCGGTAAATGTCTAAAAGTCCGCAGTGAGTTCGCGGTGCACATTCACTGCGAAAACCAGGTTTGAACCTCCGGTCCGGTCTACAATTCAAACGAATTTTAACCTCTTCTGGTGGTCAACTTACCTAAGACAAACTAGTTAGAGTCAATTGAGTTGATGGGGCAACATTGAATGACCACCAGTATACGTTTTTATGGTGAGTAAAAGTTTGAGCACAATCAGTTTTAATAACTATCATGGGTTTGAGCATGTCTCGAAATCATAAATCTTACATTAGTAACAAAATTCAAATACATAAACCCTATGCGAAGAAATGCTCCATCCTTACCATCCAAACTAATTTATGTTGGCACTACCATATTAAGTGAAGTCCACTTATCTTCTAGTCGTTTTTTTTTTGTGTTATTTTGTTATCTTTCATGTGAATCGTGCCTTGGAATTTCTGTCCCTTTTCTTGTCGTGCATTGTTTCAATATGTGATTAAATCTTTTTTAAATTTCATTATTAGCATACTTTTCTGAACTAAAAATGCTATAATAATTATTTTAAAATTGTAAAATAATCTTTTCTTAAAAACACTCAACTTCTAATCTTATGTTATCCATCTATTGTAGAAATAAATGTGATTGTGTGCGGTTGTTGTGTTTTTTTTTCTTTTATGGAAAAAAAAAATAGATGTTGTTTTTGTTACATGTTTACAAGCATAATCATAATTTGGTTTTTTTTTTTTTTGTGTGTGTGTGTGGAAAGTACGAATTTTTTGTATTAGCAAAATGTTCTAAACAAACGAATAGTTCATCTAACTTGCACCGAATGTTGTATAAAAGGTTTTAGCAATCAAACACAACTACACCTTTCATAATTGCACACCCCTCGGTCCATAGTGGCATTCCTCACTGACATGAATCAACTTCTGATGGTACATGACGTTTACCCTTTTAATAGTCATATGATACATTTTACAGTTCTAAGAAGGCGCACAAGGTGCGATCATACTAGGATTAATGCATCGGATTCCATCAGAACTATAAAATTAAGTGTACTTGGACGAGAATAGTGCTAGGATGAGTGATTTCTTGAAAAATCCTTGCGTTGTACCCTTTCCTTTTATGCAACTAGCATGGGGAAAAGAAAATAGGGATATAATCATAGAATCGGATTTGAAGGTGGAATTGGAGCTGATGGTAGAAGCAGCGGCCACATCGGCTTACCATTATTTGGTTATAGATAAGAACCATGAAGAATAGAGAATGGTCATGCAAATTATAACTGAAGAAGCGCTGAGGTTCCCGGACCGAGCTGAATTGAGGAGCTCGGTGTGCTGACGGAAGAGCTGGTTCCAAACCTGCAAAACAAACAAGAATGAGCCGGCAAGGGGGCCCGAGGGTTGTCCCCGAGAGCACTCCGACGGTCAAGTTAGCTTTCCGATGAATAGGGTTCACGGGAAGTAGAGACAACCGGGAGTAATTTGCCAATAATGAGCGTACCTTGTATAATTGATGTGTGCTATCATTTATACCTGTGAGAAAGTTTGACCTCCGTACGTTTCGGGACCTGCCCGGAATAGTCCACATCCCGCACCCAGGGGGATTCCCCCCGACCTCTGCGGGATGGCCCCCCAAGTCCTCCTGGAGCCCTAGCATCAGCGCGGCCCAGGGCGGCTGCCAGGGGCCTGGGGCCGAGGCCCGGCTCGGCCATTCCTGGGCTGCCACGTGTCTAAGCCCAGGATGGGCCTCTGCAATAACATATCTAGAAGGAAGGGAATAGATGTGCAGACTGGCAAGCAAGGAAGCAATCTAGCTACAGCTACCAAATGGACTGATAGAAGAACCGCCAACCGGACTCGGGGAGTTATTAAGAGCTGATGTAATTGAGGTCACAGCTCCATGCTTAGTACCGTGTTAAGAGGCAGTTGCCTCTCATTTGTATCCAAAAAAAAAAAAAAAGATACATAAAACTGAAAATTATCCAAACAACGCTGCTAAAAGCAGAAGTGTTGAAATACGCTCTTAGTGGAGGCAAGGACTGGGGAAGCCTATCAACAAGACAAATACGAGAATAGAATTGCCCCAGATTAAGATTTTTTTTTTTCTTACTTTTTCTCTCATCGGAAGAAGATAATGTGCGAAGTCAATTACACAAATATGAGATTTCCACATAAATTATGAAGAATGAAAATAATATGATAGATTAGGGTTGACAGAGGACTCGACTTTGACAGGTCCCCCAAATGTTTAAAGCACCAAATGTTTGACTAAACGGGTATCCAAAAAACACTTTATAATTAATTTTTATTTTAAAATATAATTAATTTGGAATAAAAATCTAACTACAGTGACCAGTACTTATATACATTCATATGATAAATTAGGTGTAATATATATTTGTATATATATACATATATACAAATATATGAAAGTAAATATTTTAATTAGAGTTATTTTCACTCTTGTATAGCATGCCTAATTGAAAAAAATTAACGAATTGTGGGCTATTTGGGTTTTACTCATATTGAATATTATATTATATGTTTAAAAATTATTCCTACTTTTAAAATAACTTTAAAAAATAACTAATCTTATCTTAATGATATCTAAAATAACTTTAAAAAATAACCAAACTTATCTAAATGCTTTCTATGAAATTATTATATGGAACTATAGTAAAAAATTTTCAAATCACAATTATTAAAATCTTACATATTCCATAAATTACTCCCTTTCATTACCATATCATTGATTAGTATTCAAATTATTCATCATCTCTTCCCTTAATTTTGAATTAATTTAATACAAAAAAGATAATTAACCGTTACATCGATTGATTTACCAATATTATTGGAAACTAAATATTTATTGATTAAAAAACTGAATTGTTCGGTCTTTTCTACTCAATTAAATATGAATATATAGTTCTAAATTTATGGTCATTATAAAAATTTAAATTATCTAAAAAAATATCTACCTAGTTTTTTTATAGGATATATTATTTGATATATTCTATCATATTATAGTGAAAGTATGTAACCAAATTTTTAAAAATTAGTAAATAATTAAATATTTAGAATACATTAATTTTTTAAATTAAAATAAATGAACATGTAGGATTGTTGTTAATTTTCATATTTAAATTATTTATATTTGCATAAATTCACAATAAATAAGAAAAGAGACCGTGTTAAGGTACGGGCAAAATTCTAATTTAGATTTGATAATGAATACCTGATGGGTACACACTAAAAACAATCTTAGGTAATAACCTTAATATAATCTGAATCCACTTAATTAACTTGAGAAATAAGGGATGCATCAAGCTGGCACATTCATGACAGGCAGCATTAAGAGTTGGACCTTCGCATCATAGCTACCATATAGTGTTAAACAAAAAGATTCCCGGCAATGTTAGTGCCATTCTGTAAGTATCTTAATAAGCTAAGAATTAAGGATAATGTTATTTGTATTCCCCATATGTTATTTGCATTCTCACTATCCTTTTTTTTTTTTTTATTTTGATGAGACCACATATCATCCTATTTCTAATTTCATCTCTTTGTCTATATGTTAATTTTACTAGATTTTCTCTTTTATTCTAAAACCAATTAGTTATTCCATTACACATTAAAATAGCTAATTTAAAATTGTCACTAATATGTATTATGTATTTTTCTACGAAAAATTCATAAAATTATATGATGTCAAAGATCAATTTAGCGATGCAATATGAACAAATTCGAAACTTCAAGCACAAAAAAATAAATAAGTAAAAAATCTCAAGGGTCAAAGATGACCAAAAATTGAGTATCACTATAATGTCTTATAAATAGGATACTAATACTTTAAAAAATCTACTAAGAATAGCTCGTATAGCTACCATAGATGGACTGAAACTTTCTAGTATATTTTAACAAAATCTTATGATGCAATGGAACCTTAATTGTATTCATAAAAAATCTGCAAAATTGAAATTGAAATTGAAATAAGAATATGAAAAATAAATTAAAAAACAGTTATGTAGATTTAGAAAAAGAGAGGCAAAAGTTAAATTTTTTTACCTTTTGGACATGTATGTGCCCAACTTCCTTTGCATGTGAACACAAGATAGGGTAGGAAAAGAATTAATCACTAATTCGCCTTTCTTTTTGTTTGTTTATTTATTGTTTGGGTTGATTGTGATTCCCATTTACAGCCTATGTTGGTTGGTGAATTGAAAGATTTTATCGGAATACTGTTGGCGGAGACAATTTACTGCTGGCGACATAACTAGGTGCTTCAAGCAGTTTTGAATCAGTGATTTTTACCGGCCCCCGGGCGCCCGCGGGAGGGAGGGGCTGGGGGGGAGGGGGGTGCTGCGTGACTCGGATTTTTTTTGGTCAAATGAACTTTTTTATTTTTGTTACGCAATTAGATGAATCATGCTTATGGTTCTACAGCAATAATCACGCAAAGATGTTATCTATGGTGAAACATCTAATTCAGAAATATGGATCTTATCAAAAAAGCCACAGACTGCAACAAACGCACAGTTACAAGATTTGAACTAAACACTTTTGTTTTAGGCCCTCAACATTAATCGCTGCCACCGTTATTCAGGGAGGACTGGCAAACGTTGTTTGAGACCATAGTTCACTTAAAGCGTTTCTTACGTATTGTTAATCAACACAGTTTTCACATCAGCAACGCGCGAGAGATCTTTTATAATGAAATGGTTCATGATTATCAATTGAACCAACTTTTATTGACTGTTTGTAAGAGCAATAGTTAGTATATACACATCTGCTGTTCTAATGCATTCTATTTTTTTTTTTTCGTTTTGCATGCTATTTTACTTATATTTTAAACACATTTTTGAATTTTTTTTTTATATTTTCTACTTTTACATATATCAATCACACCACAAAAATGCTACAATAATTATTTCAAATAATTTTAAAAAAAATACAATAATAACGCCAATAAAGATAAGAAATTCTATTATGTGAAACACAAAAGAACAAGAAGTTTATTCTGGGCCTATTCTAGTGAGGGCTAACGAATAAAAGAGTAACTAAAGAACAGGTACAATGGGATGAAAAAAAATAAAATAAAAATGATAGTTCCTACATATATGTAATCCACTTGGAATCCTCGGTGACATGTTTTTCTATGCCAATTTAATACCACCTATAGTATTGTACCAAGTGTCCTGTTATTATTTACACTTTAATTTTTTAATAATTCAACTCGGTTTGGTTTAACATAAGTATAAATAATAACAGGACACTTGACACAATATTATAGGTGACATTGAATTGGCATAGAAAACATGTCACCGAAAATCCCAAGCGTAGATAGTCAGTTATAAACCAATATAGTAAAGAAAAAGGAACAGGGAATAACTAACTGAATCTATGAGTAAGTAATGACCAATGATGTTAATTAATCGTAGTGTAATATGACAAACGAGCTAAGGATCGAAACCTACCACCGATGGAGCAACCCGTAACAATGGCTCTATGGTATTTGGCAGAAATTTCCTAGCAAAGAGGAAACAATTTTTAGTCGTCTCTCCATTATATTTGCATGTCCTGCGTCGCATTCCATTCAAAAGCTCGTCCGTCACGTCTGCCCTTCCGTATTTCCTGGGATGCGAACCACCCTTGGACCAGTCAACCCATGTAATGCTCCTGTTGGAACTCATTTCTGGGTAAAGAATGTTGACCAACGTGGGCAAATAGTGTTCATCGTTGTAGCATGGTGCCAGGCAATACTGGTGGAAAACACGGTAGTATTTGGCGTCGGAGACAATTCCAACGGCGAGATCGCGATGGACTTCGAACCATTGAGACCCTTTTCGCCATTGCTCGATGGTAATCGTGGGAAACATCTGGCGGTTGTAGCGGCCGCGGCCTGGTTTCCTTGGGTCGTCGAATGAGCCCAGGAAGCTTTGGTTGGAGCTCAGGAGGTAGTCGTAAGCGGTAGTGAAGTTGAATAATGGGATGCATGAATCCGAGAGTAATACGAATCTTTGGTTGGAGAAGTCAAGGAGAGCATTTGCTAAAAGTCTTCGTTCGGCATCAATCATGTTTATTCTTCCCCATGATACTGGCTGCAGCAAGAATCAAGATTTGAAGGTGAGCAAATATTGCATGGCAAGTTAAATAAGTACTATAAACATGCACACCTTTTTTTTTTCTTTTTTTCAATAGCTGGTCACATACTGCTCATGCCAGCAAATAAAAATAAGATCTGCTACATAATTAGACCATAAATCAGGTACCCTTAGATTTCGGCAATTATATTAGTAAAAATAAAGAGGCTCTGCTTTGTTTGGATTGTGGTTTTTTCCAGAAAATTTTTTTACGTTTTTCGTGAATACATTTCTCAATCACTTTTTTATCTCACGTATGTCAAATCATTACAAAATTATTTGTCACAAATAAATCAAGCGAACAGAAACGAAAATAACATTAGACAAAATGATTTGCCTAATTGGAGCCCGCGGCTGTGGTAACTGGTTAAATACGACAAATACTAGAAAATATAAAAGGAGAAATTGAGGCAATGAAGTGCTATTTTCAGCTTATATAAGTGCAAACAACAATTGAAGCAATGACGGACCATCCTAACATGGCCAATAGCAAATATAAAATAGCTATTTGCCATTTTCGGCTTACTTAAGTGCAGGAATTGCGGGCAGTGCTACAATTTGGTGTGAGAGTGCTTCTCCTAGAAACGATAATTACAGATGTCAACAATTAGTGGCTGTTACTTGCCAACCGAGAGCACGCAAGTATTGAAAGCATTCCGCTTTTATTTGCCGTGTCAATTATGCAAAAGAATTTTGCAGTCAAGTCAACCATCGTTTTTTTTTTTCTAATTTTATTCTTCTTAGTCTACCACGAGAAAATGTTGATTGGTGGATTTGTACCATTTGGATTGCTTTTTTTTTTTTTTTTTTTCTTGGGAGCTTCTAGGAATTTATGTAGAAGTCTAGTGTGTTTTTTTTTTTCCAGGATGAATAGAGCATATGTGAGATTAAGAAAAAAAGTGATTGAAAATGCGTGAAAAAATATTTTTTCATGGCCAGTAGTACTAAAAGAAAATTTTCACAAAAAATGGTGATCCAAACAAGATATATGAGAAAACAAACCTTGCTAGGAATTCTTCTCCCGTAGAAAACAGAACCTTGAGGCCATGAATCATTGTAGGAAGGATGAGGATGCAGGTAAATGGAGTAAAGCCCTTGATAACCCTTGAAGAACTTCTCCCACAGAGGAGCAAGAGGCAGAGGGCCTGGTGTCAAGAACATAAATGCCACCTTAGGCAAAAACTTGTGAGGAAATTCTTTGATTTGTGGAACCATCGAAGCCCTCCAAAACAACTCTTCATCAGTCATGTTATGCATCAACGATGCCTGCTCTCTCAAAGATACTACTATTGCGGTAGAATTAGAGGCACCATTTGAAGTATGATCAGTAGAAAGCACCGCTATTGACTTTGGCGGTGGAGGTGGCTGTGGAGGGGAATATTGAGGAGGTTGTGATGCTAACGATGATGTTTGAAGTGTTGTGAGCCGGGAAGATAGCAGAAAAGCACCAGGGAAGGTGAAGGAGAAGCTTTTGAGGCACAAGGTGAAAACTAGACCGACCGATAAACCAATAAGAAAGAGAAGGGAATTGAAGACATAGCTACTTGTTTGAGAATTAAAGCGTTGTTTGCCCATTTTTCTGGGTCATAGAGGCATTGGATTGGAGAATAGAGAATATGAGGAGGGATGGATGATGTAAATGTGGAATTTGGACGAGTTCTGTTTGCTAAATGCCAAAAGAGTGGACTTGCAACGTAAGTTATGCATTCGATCGCGCCCCTTAAATTATTGCAAAACATCGAATTGGGTCTTACGTAGCATAGCCGAGAGCTAGGAGGTCGTATGCCGGCCGTAAGCGTACTTCCTAGGATGGTTCGTTTTCGTTGGGATTATTTTAACTCCCACCTTTCTAACCTATGAACTCCTAGCAAGTCGTCCTAAGGGGTACCGTTTTCCAGCATTATTTATATTGAACCACTTGTCCTAAGAAAGTGAAAGGATTGGAGAGAAAAAAAATTTCTTTTTGCTTTGGTCATCCAACTCTCCACCCACGTAACGTAGCTGGTACTGAAATAAGAAGGGCTTTCTCAGGATCATTCAATTAATAATGCAGACTACAGTACAGAAACTTATAAAAGCAAAAAAGAACAGGTGAAGCCGCCAAGTAGTGTTAATAATTTTGAAGTTTCGGAAGTTGAAGTCGTCAAGTCTTAATGATTTTATACAGAACTCCTGAAAGGTGTTAGACCAGGATTTTAGCAACTTGAAAGAACCAAGACCACAACTGTTTTACTTGCTCGTAACTTCAGCCACTGTCGTGTAGTCAAGATCAAATTACAATGACCAATGCATTCCAATGTGCTGCATATTGTGCTGTGTATAACAACTCGAGTTGAAAATGCGTTCTTGTAGTTTTCAACTGGAGTTGAAAATGCTGTGGATAATGATTCATGCAGATGCCCATTAAAAGAAAGAAAAGGCGAAAGGGCGCAGATCAGATCAGCACAGAATTCCAGAGCTTGGTCAAAAAATAAAGGGATAATTTTAGAAACCTCCCCTGAAGTTTCTAACAATTTCATTGACCTCCCCTATGGTTTTGAAAATGGCATAAACCTCCCCTGAACTTATAGTTGTAGTAACATGATCAGCCCATGTCAGAAAAATGAGCATTAAAAAAGTATTTTGAAGAGTAAGATGATATTTGTGTTCCATATATGCCCTTTTTACTTATAATAACTTGTATTAGTAAATAATGAAAAATATTAAAAGACATAAATAATTAGTAAATTCTAGTAGGTGTAAGAGCTATTAGAAAAAGTGTTGTAGCAACAACTTGAAGTTTCAGTTTGCACCAATGGCTAGTGCAATGGCGATATTTTTAGTTTCTTTCAAAAGCATATAAACGGCTCAAGGAACTCAAGGAATAATTTATTTTTAGTGTGATTATCTGATTTTGAGGTAATAAAAAGTGGCAAGGCTGGAACAACCAAAGGCTATAGTTAACATGATACTCATCATAAATATCACACTAGGTGTTGTATTTATATTCATCCAAGTTATAAAATCAATTGGATAAACTCTTGTAACAAATGTAAAAGTGCCACGACATTATACCAGCCATTTTAAGTCTTTTCTAATTATATAAGAAGTAAACCAGTAGTACTTGTCAGTTAGATTGTATTTGACAGAAATGTATGACTGAAATTTGATGACTACTACTACAACTTTACTAAGAGATAATAAGCAACAACATATTAGTTGAACTAGTTAGTAAGACAACATAAGTCACTTGATGTTAGTTCAAAATTGCTATAATTGTAGCAGTTGTAGTACTAAATAACTATTGCTGCAATCCAAAATAGTTTCAAAACACCATCTACCCCAAAAGAATGAAGCAGGTGGTAAGGATTGCAAAGTCAAATTTCATGACCATTGATTGTTTGTCACTAATGCCAACCATATACAAAAGCATGAGTAGCATGTCAATAATCTTAATGCAAATCAGCAGGTTTTAACCTGAAAGGAGCCATGCTTTTTTCCTTCCTTTTCCTCCATTTTTCTATTTTCTCCAAGGCTGTCCTTGGGTTGCTCTCTGAAGTCATGTCGAATCACAAGAAAATGGCATCATATTGGTGCATCAATTAGTGTCATTCTTAAGTGCAATTACATTAGCTTATTAGAGATAGAACCATAGTTAATATCATTTAATTAGTTCATTTATTTAATGACCTAATTATATTTTTCCAGAAATTCGTTTCTTATCAGCCTTTTATGCATTAGGGCAAAGCAGTAAATTTATTCCAGGTTACATCAGCAATGGGCCCCAAAATCAGTTGAGGGGAGGTTAGTGTTATTTTCGAAACCTCAGGGGAGGTCAGCGAAATTGTCAAAAACTTCAAGGGAGATTTCTAAAATTATCCCAAAAATAAAAGTAAGAGCGTGAAAGTGATTTAGACCTAACACTCTTTAACGGTATGATAGGATGCGCCTTAATTCGTGAATCCTGTAAGGATTTGTCAAGAGGCGAGAATATTCCACTACTAGAAAGTCCTGCAGTCTCGCTACGCGGCAAGATTTTTGTTACGTCTTAGCATTTCTTGCACTTTGCATCCGTTTAGCAGGTTTTCTTGGCAGACCCTGCAATGTGACCTATAATACGAGTTTTTTTTTTCCCTTGGCATAGTACTTAAAATAAAATTCGAATTGAGGCATGTTTGTGTGCCACCAATGTCCCTTTTTTTTTTCTTTTGTCCGAATACAATAAAATCTGTTTTAAATCTACTCCTACTCTATAATAGGGGAAAAGGGTCTGAAGAAGTCTAAGAAGAATTCAAAGGGAATTAAACCACTACCGATCCAAACGAATACTTATGCATCAATTGAGAAAATCTTCAGGAAAACCTGAATTTGTAGAATGCAGGCAAAGGATTTTTAAAACTCTCTTAGTGACCAACTCCTTTAGAATTTTTCAATTTTCTTAAAGTTCAAATAAATGTAGATTTCGATCGAAGTCATTAATCACCACACTATTGTCGGGCTTGAAAGTGCCGAAAGCGTGGTATCTGTAGCTTTCAAAATCCGCTAAAACTAGTGCCACCTGAAGGCGTAGTGAGTGATTCACGCCCTCTAATGTTTAACTGAGTCGAGTCATTGCGAGCACTCAAACGCTGTCGTATGTATGGGGGCCAGGCCAACATCCTCTTCTGCCAAAAGCAAGAAAAAACGATTCGGGTCGGATTTAAACTTCCAGCGCCGGAAATCCGCAAACACATAACTCTCATTAGAAGAATTGTATAGAGCAGAAGCACAGGAGCCATGGAAGAAGGCGAAAGGAGAGAAGCAGCCATAGCTTCCGCAGCTTCTCTGCAGCCCAATTTCACGCCCAAGAAAAGCAACATCACCCCATCCCAGCTCTCCAAATTCCATGTGAGCACCGCATCGTACCCCTCTCATCTGCCCTATATTTTCTTTCGATGTCTCCGTAGTTAATGACTTAAATTTTCCCGAATTGTACTGGAAACATATTAAATTATTATTTTACCCTGTGAGGTCGATGATATTTGCTCTATAGCTACATGGGCTCTTGATATCAGCTGCTGAAATTGTCGTCTTCTTTCTTTAATGTCAGGAATTGCACAAGAGGCGTTTAAAAATAAAGGCAAAATCGAAAACTAAAACGAAAATCAAGGGTAGGCTGCACAGTGATATGACATGAATCATGAATGTTGTTTTTTTCCCCTTTTTTTTTAAAAAAAAATTTATTTATAACTTGAGCGATTTGGTGCAATTGCTGCAACCTTTTTTCAGGACCTGAGGGGAATGGGAAATCCCATGAGAATGGAAGCAATGGTAAGGAACGTATTGGTAAAGCGTCAGGTGCAACAACAACAGTTGAGGGATCAAGTGTTCCTTTCCCAAAAGGCAGTACCGACGAAAATTCCAGCGTGCAGGAAAGTGTAGCAGCCCATCCAGTCTCAACGCCGAAGCGCCAGAAGAAATTACATTGGGGGTACTATCTGCTGCTCTTTCTTGATCTTCCATTCAAATGGAGATAAGATCATGGTTTACCTGCGTGATTTAAATTTAATGGGACGATGAGGCTCTAGACGCCATAATCCTTTTGCCAGTTCTAATTCTACCATTCTTTTCCTCTTTCTGTTCATATTTTATTCTTTGCTCACTCTCTTCATTTCATTTTCTTGCTTTTGCAGGCTTGATACAAAAGAAAGATGGGAGATGAAAGCCAACATGTAGAGAGAATTCCTTATTACGAGTGTAATGAGAGGTTTATGTCGTGAATTAACCCGACACTGATTGTTGTCGAAAGGTCCCCTGTAGAATGTCTGCCCTATTTCTCTTTCCCCCAGATTGCTTCGCTCGTATGTCATGCTGCTGAATAATTGGACGATCATATATAGGATGTTGCATTACATTTTTGTGGACCCGCAGGAAGTTTTTGTACCTCAGACGATCCACCTGTCTTTACCTTCCTATAGCATTGCGCTCAGCCAATAATGAGTAGTTAATGGGATGCTTCTTTCTGTGACATGCGAATTTCAAAATGTGTCAGTGTTACAGTGCGCGTCCTGGAAGGCTGGAACAACTTCCTGCTAACGAGGCATTTCTGGTGGCATTAATGCAGAATTCTCTCAGAAATTTCATCAATGAAGATAACTGATAATCGCACCTAATCTGCATATGCGAATGCACCCATGAAATAGTTTGCTATCATGTAAGTTCCAGGCTCCAAAGAGAATATGGACGAAAAGTACGGTGTACGTCATTTGCATCAGAGACGTTCAAAGCCTGCACCCCTATTTACAACTTTTTATTTGCAAATCACCCTACAACAGAACCATGCTCTCCCCACATCGACACGAGACTCGAAAAAATGATTTTAGAGCCCAGTGGCAAAGTCACCGGTGCTCTTCACATCAATCCCGATGGTGTTGCAAACGCAAATCACAGATGACTGTTAAGTCTGTACCCCGCACTAATTACAGAAACCAAACGACAAGCTAGATTGTAGGCAGTACAATGCCCACTCAGCAAAAACTGTGTGGAGAAAATATTCTGATCAAGCCCGCAAGGTTGAAGAGGCTAGAGAAGTTTATCCATCACAGGTCTCAAACTGCAGGGTTAAGTGCACGCTCTATCTCCTCGAGCGACCGCCCTTTTGTCTCGACAACATTACCAGCTATGTACAAAACTGCTAGAAGACATATAGATGC